TCCTTACTCTCTCAGTTACTGCAAAAAAATCTTTCCTTTCTCTTAGACTCCCAGGTTCTCAGTTTACTAATTGTGCTGTATGCATATGGTTCGTGCCTTCATATTGTGTATTGTGCATTCACATCTTTTGACATAGAGAATCTTTGAGTGATTTTAGACATTCAGATCTGTTGATCATTTCCTATATTGCCCTTTCTTTAGTACTTACAAAGCCCTTCTCCACTGCTATATTTTTAAAATGAATTTGTTTTTATCAGAGTAATATAAGCATCTTTTTATGACATCGACTAGCATTTCAAAGGCTTATTTAATGAAGTGCCAATAAAACTTAAAAAAATAATAAAAGTCTTATTTTGAGAAGTAGCAGCTCCTTGCCTCACCTTGCTTTGTTCTCCACTTACACTTCCCCTATCATTTTCAGTTCAGTGATTTCTGCTGAGATTCCTGTCTATTTATAAGTAAAATTCTATATTGCTTTTTTGGCGATTTTCCTCCTCCCCTACTTCTCCCTCATATGTAGGCTTTCCCAGGGAATGGTGCATGCCGTTCACGGAGATCTTTATTGTCGAGTTCAGGTAGTAGGTGTGATGACTGTTTTCTTTTTTGCTTCAGGTTGTTAAAACTGCCTGGTTTTAAAAATTACCGAGTTCCGCTGGGGGCTTAAGTGGAGAGGAAATGTTTTGAGAATGATGAGGGCAATGAATATACAAATGCGCTTTACACAATTGATGTGTGTATGGATTGTGATAAGAGTTGTATGAGCCCCTAATAAGATGATTAAAAATAAATAAAAGCAACCATCATTCTAAAAAAATAAAAATAAAAGCAGGAGGAGAAAATCAAGCCTGCTACAAAGAAAAAAAAAAATTACTGAGTTCCTCTATAACCATTGCTTATTTGTCCAAACGGTTCAAGAGATTGATGAAAGATCTCATGAAAATTTTTGCAAACAGCTCAGTTGACCTGTCAGTTTTTAAGTCCAAGATCTAAAACTCTATTACTACTTTCATGTTTGAACAATAGATTTCTTAGGGGAAAATAATTTTTCTGTAGAACTTTCAAGACATTGCTCCATTTTTTTTCTTTTAAATGTGTGGTAAATAAACATATATGTACACAACATCTGGCATCTCAGCAGTCGTGCATACATAATTCAGTACTATGAATTGCATTCCTCCTGTTTACGATCACCAGGATTGGTTCCCATGGCTTCCCATCATGCTTACCTGAAGCTGGGTGAGTGAGTGTTGTTTTGATTTCTATTTACGTTTAGGTTGAAGTACAAGCTTCCTTGATTCTCCATGCCAGTGCCTTCCGACTTTAGATTTGTTCCTTCTGTGTTGCCTTCCCCGCCCCCACCTTCAGAAGGTTTTGCTGTTTGCTGTAGGTTAGACTGCAGACCCTATGGTCAGCAGTTCGGACCCACTGCAGGAGGAGCAGGAGACTTGTTCTGCCAAGAGCTACCCTCTCAGAAATCCCGTCAAGGGGCTTTCGGAGTTGGGGTCAGCCTGGTAGCAGTGCGTTTTTTTTTAATTTACCAAAAGGTGGTGTACATTGTTATTGATTTTGCTTGGGTCCTGGTGGTAAATTCTGGGATTTTGTTGTTGTTGTCTGTATTTTCTTTGATATGTTCTGTTTTTGTGGAACTCTTATAACCAGATGTTACACTTTCTTGACAATGTAATTTTTTAAAAAAAATTTTATTGGGTGTTCGTACAATTCTTATCACAATCCTACAATGTAATTTTCTATTCTTTTTCCTATCACTTAGTCTTTGTTTTACTTTGTAGGACATGTTCTTCAGTATCTGATAACCTTTATATATATATTTAACCTTTATATTTTTAAAATGAAAGTTTAACTTGGTCATCTGTTAAATTTCCAAGTGCCTCGCCTGTCTCCTAGTCTTGTCTGGTCCCTCTCTCTCGGTGGTGTGAGGTTTTCTATTCACATTGAATATTTGGGCACTGGGGAAAACAAAAAGCCAATCAGAGGGAAGAGTGTTTGCCGGTCCTGAGGCATTATTATAGGTTGAAGGTTAGTTGGTGTTTTTTTCTTAAGGGGAACCCCTCAAAATGTCAGCCTGTGAAGGTCTTGGGAGCTGTTTAGTTTATAGTCTAGTCACTGCTACATGAAGGCCGAGGAGGAAACTGGAGAGACTTGCGTGGGATTTTACTGATCCCCGTGTTGAGTACCGTGCCCTGCCCTTGGTGCCCCTGATCTTTTTTGGTGTCTAGTTCCGATTTTCTGAAGACTAAACTTGCCTCAGGTAGAGGGCTTAAGTCTGGCTTCAGGGCCTCACTGCTTTTTTGGCACTCAGGCCTTATCCCATGGGTGCCTGGTGTTTCCAAACTCTTGAGTCCCTAGGTTCTTCTGGACCCTGATCCAACTGCCTTTCTCACCTTTGTTGTAACTAACTCATTGTGTTTGCCACTTGCCATCTCTCTTTTAGCTTTCCACCTTCTAAAAAACTTTGAAATATATTGCCCATCATGGTCCCTTTTCTTTGACCATAAAGGTTAATGCCATTTTTTCTATTATTTTAGTGGGCTTTGGGGGAGGGAAAAATACTAACTGACCAACCTGTTTGGTTAATTTGCTGTTTCTAAAATCCCCCCTTTCAAAATCCAAATAGACTTCCATTCAGCCATTGCAGGGATTCAAAATCGCATGTTTGTGAATGCAGTACCCTACCCTTCAGGATTTCACATTAACAGTGTGATCATGGGAGCATAGTGCTGTGGGGCACAGGTGGAGGTGGGAGTGCACCTGGGCTTTGTGTGTGCACGCATGCTTGTTGTGGGGAAAGACTTAGGAAAGTGTCTTGGTCGAAAGGGGCCATGACCCCTGTATAGATATAAAAGGGGGTACTGGTGAGTTTGTTGATGATGGTGGGAAATTGGACAGTGATTGTGGTTGGTTGCACCACATGGTTAATGCAGTTGATAATATTGATACTAAATGGTGAACCTCCAACCTATCAAACAGCAAATGTTACTTTGTGCATATCTTGGAATTTTAAGGAAAGCAAATGGATTAAAAAGGGCTGTGGCATATCTACTGAAGTGCAGGAAATGCTTGGACAGCCTGGGGAAGCTTTGGAACACTGGTGCTTGCATGGATCCTCTCAGAAGCTTGCTGTCCCTGAAGCCCTAATAGTCTATTTGGGGAAATAGCTGATTTTTCTGGTTTCTACTTCTTTTACCCTTCCTAATATACAGCCTAATAGCCACGGAGTGTGAGAGCCCATTTTATGCTGGAGTCAGCCTCCTGGGGTTATCATTTTGTGATTAGAACATTGTCTCATGACAGGGCTTCCATGAATGCAGGAATGTATTTTCCTTGTTTTTGAACTGAATTTTTTATTGAGATGCAATAATGTATTAAAAACTCTCATTTTTATTGATCACACGGGCTTTATGCACACTCTACAATTAACACCGTGGATGAAATCACGTTGGAGCGTGACCTGAGAAGCCAAGCCCGTGCCGCCATAGGTTTTTGAGGCCAGTTTGGGCTTGTCCAAGGGCTTGTTTGATGCATTCAACAGTCATGGAATCACATGTTTTCTTTGTCCTGTTTAAGGAGAGGACCATTGAGCTTAACTCTTTAAATCCCTTGCATCTTAAAAAATGACACAGCCTATTTCTTTATCTACTATAAATGCTTTCTAAATGTCCTGGATAATAGACTCATTATGTACTTACTCAATGCTTTATGTTGGATATTTAGATCATCACTAATATTTATTATAAATGACAGTGAGATGATATTCTTACGCATAAATATTGGTTTGCATTATTTCTTTGGATGCCTAGAAGTAAACAACTGATCAGAACATTTGAATATTTTCCAGACTTTACGTAGGCTAGATGTATGTAGAGTATCAAATACAAATCACTGACTACATGGGAGTACCTGGGTATATTTTTAAATACATGTTACTGACCTTGTGCACCTGGTCACTTTTTTACTAGTGTGCACGCCCTACCAGGAAGTCTGGGGAAAGCACAGCCTGAGGCATCCTTGCTGTTGGGATTCTTGGGCCCACCTGAAGAGGGGCCTGCAGTACCTGGACTGCTGAGACCCAGTCTCTGGGGGCCTCTGGTGACTCCTTTGACCTAGTGATGGGCGGAGCCCTGGCAGTGTACGTGGGGAGATGGTGATGTGGGAAAGAACGGCTTTCAGGCCTGGAGTCTTTTCCAGCAGACCTTGAAGAGAGCATCTGGTTAGAGCTCTGCTTTTGAATTTGCTTCTGAGAGAGGTTCTACCTGTCCCCAGCTACTTTCTTCCAAAAGGAAATTGTTGTATTGAAAATTTTCCCATGATTCTTGAGAGCTGGGCCAAGCTACAGAACAATTTGTGATCTTGCCTGATTGATGAGCAGAAGTGGGAAGAGTCATCCAGGGGGCTCTAGGTGCTACAACAGCCAGTCTCTAGTGTCAGAGGCAGGACCGCAGGACCCCTCTTCCAGCCCTCGAAAGGCCAGCGTGGGCTGACTGCAGCCCTGTGCGTGGTGGAGGGCAAAGGTGGAGTGCCTCAGACATTGAGGCCCTGAACTGGCCATGCATGGGAGCAGTGCTCACAGCCTTTGCCCAGGTCGGCTCTAGAGCAGGAGTGTGTGAAGGGAAGGATTCCTGCAGGACTAGGAAATGGCCTTGGGGAAGGATAACAGAGCACTGGTGGGGCAGCCCTGTGGACAGGGTCTGGGCCCCTTCCTCATTCAAGCCCAGGGTACTTGATGTGAATCTTGGGGTGCTCTCTCATGCCGTCTCTTCCCAGCTCTTCAACCCCCTAGCTGTCCGATCCCTCTCTTCTTCCCCCTTAGGGTGTCTGAGCAGCACCCCGACTGCCCTTGCTTCCAATCAGACTGCTTGCTGGGGGGCTTGTTCAGTGGCAGGAATGGCAAGCCCCTGGACTGTCACCTTAGTGACATGCCATCTGGGACCTGGGTCGGCGTTCTTTTTCTTACCTTGCTCCTTTTGTTTCTCCACCACCAGGTCACCCCTCCTAATTTCTCAATGTCACAAGTGCCCAACACTGCCACCTGTCCCCAGGCCTATTCTGAACTGCAGACGCTGTCTCCTAGCGAGCGGCAGTGTGTGGAGACGGTGGTCAATATGGGTTACTCATATGAGTGTGTCCTGAGAGCCATGAAGAAGAAAGGAGAGAATATTGAGCAGGTGAGCAGTCACTCGGACAGTGGTCCTAGGCCTGTCCTCGAGGCCCCAGCTTCCTTTTCCTGTGGGCCTGGGGGCCTCCAGCAGGGAGCTTTGTAGGGGATCGATCCAGTTGTGGGCTATGCTCTGGAACCTGGCTGAGCAGAAGCCTTGGTTGCATTGGGGCTGTTAGGAATTACCCACTGCCCCTGGTCCATTCTTCTAAGAGTGTAGTCACGTCTTCCCCTCCCACTCCCCGCCAGAAAAGTCTATCTTGCCATAACTACCCAGGGAGTTCCAAATGGGGCCAGGAATCCAAAAAGGCTTAGAGGCCTTGCCAGACGTGGGCTACTTCTTACGGGAGGATATTCTCTCCAGGCTGTGGTACTTGCATTCCAGGAGATACTAGTTGTGGTTGAACACCTTTGGAGAATGGCTGCTCATGCTCAGAGGGGGGGGTGGCCTGTCTAGCAGCCAGTAGTCACGAGGACCTGTGCCAGACAGCTTTAGACACAAAACCAAGTCCTCGGACCAGCAGCCAGGCTGGGGGCGGGGCGCGGCCTCAGTCATTGGTTTGGAAGCAGTGAAAGGAAGATAGTAGGTGCTGAAATGGGCTGCTTCTTTCAGATTCTCGACTACCTGTTTGCACACGGACAGCTCTGTGAGAAGGGCTTCGACCCTCTTTTGGTGGCAGAGGCTCTGGAAGTGCACCAGTGCTCAGAAGAAAAGGTGGGAGCCGTCTTGATGCTTCGTGGGAACCCTCTAGAAAGTGGGAAGGAGCCGTGTCTCCGGAGGTTCCCTGCCAGCCAGTCACCACTCCCTTTCCTGGTCTGTGATCTCAGGCAGAGGCAGCCCGAGGCTGGATTTGCCTCTGATGAAGCACTGGGTTGAAATCTGCCTAGAGAGGTCGGCAAACTTTTGAGACAGAAGATCCAATCTTATTCCTCAAAACAGTTTCAAACTTGAGAGCCACAAATGAAATCATTATCTGGATAATATCCTTTAATCCCCCTACACGCCACCCCATTTTACTTCAGAGCCACAGGTATGTACTGAAAGAACCACATGTGGCTGGTGAGTAGTTTGCCGACCCCTGGTCTAGAATTCCAGTGACGGGATGCAGACGCCTCCAAAGGGAAAAACTGTCCAGGCTACAAGCTGAGCTTTTGGATTCCTGGGGTGCTTGCTAGACCCTTGTTGAGCCTGCCCCTGTGGAGACCAGCTGTTTCTGGGTCCACCGCCTGCCTTAGTGAAGTTTGTGGCGGTGGGCTATGGGCTGAGGTCAGCAGGAGTGTGTAGGTTGGAGCTGAGTCTGGCTCTTGAAAGGTGTCTTGAGTCATCAGCCTGTCTCCTGTTTCCTTCCCAGACCACCTCTTTGCTAGGGCCTTCCACCCCCCACCCCCCAGGCTTTTGTGCGGGGCGCAGACTGAGTGGCCCTCCTGCGGGCACCCTCCACTCGGGTATTCTTTGTAGCTGGAGCCTTTTAAACACGTGTTCTCTTCTCTCCTTCAGATGATGGAATTTCTTCAGTTAATGAGCAAATTTAAAGAAATGGGCTTTGAACTGAAAGACATTAAAGAAGTTTTGCTATTACACAACAATGACCAGGAAAATGCTCTGGAAGACCTCATGGCCCGGGCAGGAGCCAGCTGAGAACAGGCCTGGCCTTGGCCTTGCCACGGAACCCCCACC